TCAATCCGAAAAGCACGATAGCCAAACTCGCCCGGCTAGCTGGCTGGTGATTTCGTCCGATGGTAAAAAAGGGCGTTCGTTTCACTATCATCAACTAGGAAAGGTCCCCCAAACGGTGGCGGCCGTGCGGGAACGAACCGGTCTGGCTGTAGATCTGACGTGGCTTTTCAAGGCGCGCTGGTGCTCGATTTAGCAACCGTCCGTCTGATGATCGAGCTTATTACTGACCTAAAAGCCAGTGATGAACGATGAACAACGAGCCCTTTATCAGCTTCAAGAGCTTGACGCGCGTCAATGTAGGGTGATGGTGATTGAGGAGACGCGGCGCGGCGGTCAAAGTTGCCGGTTTCCCAGAATGTGATGTAAGTTGGGGGGGGGGGGGGGGGGGGGGGGGTGTGGGGGGTGGGGGGGGGGGGGGGGTGGGGGGGGGGGAGAGAAAGGGGGGTGGGGGTGGTGGGGTGGGTGTGTTGGGGGGGGGGGGGGGGGGGGGGGGGGGGGGGGGGGGAGATGGAGGTTATAGCTAGATGTGGGATGGATCCTATGTGGATTGGAGGTGTAATAGGGCATAAAGAGCTTCAGGCAAAGAGTTCATGCGACGTCTGAACATAAGAAATGGCAGCGTCGACATGACCTTTGTAGGGTCGGGTCGACGAAAATGCTAGTTTGTACTTTGATCCCGATAACGGCCGAGCGTATCGCGAGTTACCGATGAATGCATAGCTACGAGTTGACAACAGCACGGCTTATCGTCGAGTATCAAGGCAGTTGGCCACGAGATCTCCGTCGAGAACATCACAATGGCCCCTACCCCGCTACGATGACCCCTCCAACTGATAATACTTCGAGCCGGCATGGGTGATGGGAATTCAGCGAATTGCATCCTCGCAAAGATCCAATCGTGCGGGCGACAGACCACGATTCGTCAGGCTTGGGCGAGATAGCCGTGGAATCTACACCAGAATGTGTAAATCGCGGAAAAGAGGTTGCCGATAAACCTCACCCAACCGGAGGGGCCACGGGCATCTGGATACAGCCCGCGATTCGCCTTCTCGACGACTTTTTCCCATGTGTATGAATCAGGAACTTGTCATGTGGGCAATCTTTCACAGGCAACTGAAAATGTGACCTTTCGATCGTGTTTGTAACTCAAGAAAGATGTCGCCGTTTCGCTGATTGGTTCTCATCCACCGAAGCGGAAATGTGCCGCGTTCCGGGCTTCTGATTGGCTGTTGACCTAATGTCTCGCGATTTGTGAATTTTGCATCGCCTCAGCTCTGTACGAAAACAGGTCTCCCCTCCAAGATAAGAACGAGAAGGTCGAAGGCTTGGCGCGTGGGTTCTCTGGCCCAATTAAGCATGTATGCATATGTAGTTTTGCTTGATCCCATCGTTGATCGTCATCAAGGACTCGGTATCAATCCTTACCCCTCAGCTATGCGGCTTCAGATGTGCATATCAGACTTGGGATATCGACCAGATATTCATAGACATGAAGAGATCATATAGGTACACAATCTCCAAATATCTGGCGGGGTCAAGGAAAGGATGGTCACTTCATAGTTCCCGTGATATGGTCTCACCAGTCTCCTCCACAGGCGCCAACCATCGAAAAAGAATGATTCGGGAACAATTCCACACACAACTGGAATCGGCTTCTGGACCCTGCAGCGATGCACCCGACAATCTTTAATGAGTTGCCCCGCCCCCACTACGTTTGCGGTCGGCCAGAGAAGCTTGCCATGTGGTCCAGCGCGACACATCGACAGGCTCTTTCATTCGAGTCTCGTCTGCCCCTCCCCCGCCGCACATCGTCACAGGTACCTGCGTGATAGTACACCTAGCACGGTGAGACATCTAGGTCGCTTGACCTGTACGCATCTTCTGCAGTCCGAACATCGCAGCCATGGGCGAAGATATCAGAAGGCCAAGCGCCGCCTACGGCGCATTCCCCTCATACTCGGCGAACGCCATCATTTTCCTTACACTGCACGCAAGACCTGCGGTTTTTCAGCTCCGCAATAATCGCTAGCAGGCCATACTGACCGTCGCTGCGAGACTTTCGAGTGATTCTTCGGTAAGATGCAGGCCTGTGATGGAAGTGTAAATCCAGCTAACATAGTAACTGGCCTAGGCATTGTAGCCACCGGCAATGGCAGAACCTCTTCTACCCAAGAGCTACGGCACCATGCCGCGGTACCCAGCTCACAACAACTCCGTATTCCCGTCATCATTACGAGGGAAGCGCATTCTGCTTTGCACAGAATCCTTTGGCCCCGTCAACGGCGTCAGCCGGACGACATTGATGCTCGTCGAACACCTGCGATCCCACGGCGCACTCGTCGCCGTGGTGGCGCCACACAACCATACCCTACACAACACCTTCTCTCCGGCAACAGAAGATGACGGTCAGGTCGAAGTGCGCCTTCAGGGATACCCGCTGCCCTTCAACCCTGAGCTCTCTGTCGTTTATCCAGTACGAGTATCTGCCCTCTTCGCGAGGACCTTTGGGTCGGACAGCCCGCCCGACCTCATCTACCTCGCCTCGCCGGCATCACTGGGCTTCCAAGTGATGCTGCAGCTCCAACAACAGCCAAAAGAGAGACGGGTGCCGGTGATCTGCAACTTTCAGACCGACCTGGCCGGATACTGCGCCATCCTCTTCCCTCACCCCTTCAGCACCATGGCTGTCTTTGCTTTCGCCATGGTCCAGAGCTTTCTGTTCCAGCACGAATCAATCAAGACCATTTTCTACCCCTCACGCTTCGTGCGTAAGTATCTCGAGGCCCAGGGGGTCCAGAGCTCCAAGCTTGAGGTGCTACGACGAGGCGTCAAAACAGAGGTGTTCCGACCAGAAATGCGAAACGAGGCGTTGAGGAAGCAGATCGCACCGAATGGAGAGATCATTTTGATATGTGTATCCAGGGTGGCGGGTGAGAAGGGGTTCGACTTTCTCGCCAAGGCAGTAAAGGAACTCGATGCAAGAGGCCTCCGTTTCAAGCTCTATGTCGTGGGCGGGAACCGTAATGCAGCAGTTGAAAGAGAGGTTCACGAGATGTTTGACCCTCTGAGGGACCAAGGCAAAGTCATATTCGCCGGGTTCAAGACCGGAGACGACCTGGCGACGGCGTACGCATCGGGCGACATTTTCCTCCACTGCTCCGTCACCGAAACCTTTGGCTTGGTCGTCCTGGAGTCCATGGCAAGCGGCGTTCCGGTGGTCGCTCGCGATGAGGGCGGGCCAAGCGATATCATCGACAATGGCCGCTCGGGATACCTTGTATCACCCAACGACCTGGACACATTTGTCGACAAGGTCATGTACCTCTCCAAAGACAGAGACTGTCGGGAGGCTATGGCCGCGCAGGCTCGAGCGATGGCGTGTGAGGCTACTTGGGAGAAGATCAACAATCAAGTCGCCTGGAGGATGGTTGACACCATTGAAGAGCGAGAGCGAGAAAAGGCCCAGATCACCCATCAGCGTTCGTCCATCGCCATGCAAGCCAGCCAGCTTGTACCAGTATACAGCTGGCTGCTCATAAACAACGCTACGCGTGACGTTGTGGTGGGCAGAATAGTAGATGCCAAGCTTGTGGGCGGGTTCGGCGTCGTCATGGCTTTCTGGTTCTTTACGGGCATGTATCTGGCGTTTACTGAGGCGGCTCTTTGGACCAAGGGCAAGTTGCCACGATACTGCGGCCAGCGAGTGACGGAGTAATGGCACGGAATGGTTGGTTTGATTTTCATTCAAGGGCGCCGATGCGATACTCCCAGGAGCGAGACAGGTTCATTAGTGTTTTGTGGCTTAGTATTAGCGTTTAGCGATGTCTTAGTAATTTAGTAGTATTTGCGACGGGGGGCACTAGTAGCAAATACCTCCTTCGTCGTCAATGGCGATCTTTGAACTGTAAGCGTTATCGTGACAATCCAATAATGGACCGTCGATTTTGAGATGAACCGTTAATGCTTGCCGCGGTAGCCGAGTATTCCACCGTGGCCGCGTCATTGAAGGCCCGTGAGGCACCGGGTTGACGAGTCTATCGCCGGTGGTCCGTAGAATACTCCTACCGATATCGAAGAGATGGCCCCTGTTCCCACTGCCGCTCTCACCTTATTACAACGACTGTGAGTTATCATGAAGGGGGCCGGAAGGTGGGCGGGCGCGATAAACCGTGCCTGGGCCAGCTGGGTCCCGAAACCGGTCGCACCAGGAGCGACCAGGAGATGGAGGAGGCGTTTCGGGCTTCGGCCACGGTGTGGTTCTCGCGGTCGCGATGGAACGTCGTTGCTTTTCATCGGCGGCCAGGAGCCGAATCTTGAAGTGACCAAGCCTCTACTCCGTGCTGTGGTAGCCGGTAGGTATTCGTAGGTAATGATGCGGGTTTGCGTAGTGTGTGGTCTGGGCGTATTGTACGGATAGAGATGTTGACAGATCGCGGGGATGTTTCTAATAGAGGCGGCGATCAATCTTATTCAATGGTTGACATTCATTGCTCTCCCACAAGCTCACCGCACCAGATCTCCGTATCCTAAGATTGAGGGCGAGCCAGCTTCTCCCGGTAGATGGGCCATTGGGCAGGGCATCGAGCGAATAGGATACGCCTCAGGGGCGATCAATTTGATGAGCAATGGTAGGCCAGGGTTCAGACGAGCACAAAGCCAAGCTTTTTGGTGACAGGAGGTTAAAAATCGCAGGGGGCCAGCCACAAAAGGATGAAACGTCGATGTGAGGAGACTTGAGAGGATGAGGGTCGATGTAATACTCCGTCGGAAGACCAAACTTGCGAGGTGTGGCTGGTGACACCCACTTCTCCTATCGTGGCTTACGGCTAAGGAGTAATGTGGCTTGTGTATTGTTTCCGGCTGTGGCGCAGTAGGTACCTCGAGCCCAAAAGACCTTCTGAGCAGCCCAATTCGAGAATGCCAGATATCTTCCCCAATTCATTTCAATTCTATTCAATTCAATTCAATTCAATGAACTGGTGCTGAGAACAAGCTGCAACATGGGCTCCCAGCGCATGCCGCTTAGCCGTCCTGCCCATTCTCCATTCCCTTTCAGGGCGGTGTCCACCGGACTGGGCAAGGTGCGCAGCGGTGTCGGCATGGATGCCATGGAAATGCTCAGCGCTCGACCTGGTCGTGCTGGGCCCCACGCGTTTCACCTGAGACAAGGGCCGTTGCCTGCAGTCTGCACTCTGCAGACGCCGCGCGCGGTAATGCAGGCCTGCTCGCTCGGTGTGAGGGCGAATTTTGACTGTTGATGGGTGCTGAGAGAGTTGAACTCTGTGGTGATTCTCTAATGTCAGAGCCAGGCTTGGCCTTCTTAGGCTCTTGGTGTCCGATGACAGCGTGGTGATGCGGCCATTCCTGGAATGAATGGCTTGATATCCGCAATTTCGAGTCTCTTGATGGTATCAATGTCCGCCCGTCTTTTGCTAATTGTCGCGGCTCATCCTTGCGATGCGTACCACGGTCATCGCATCCGAGGGAAAAGGCGCAAAGACCATTCGATCACGACACGTCCCATCCCTTGCTTCTCTAGACTCTAGCACCTTATTGTTGGCGTTGGAATAGACGGATACGTGCTGTGGTACCCGTCTCCAGTGGTATATTCCTACATCGGATTGTGCATCGTGCGGCTTCGAAGTCTAAAACAGGTGGTTGCTGTCGCCGGTGGGATCCAAGCCCCTAATGAGTGGACTTTGTCTGCTGACTGTGCCTCTCGAATCTTCACTAGCAATTCGGGTGGTGGATTGGTCCAGTGGCTGATGGATGATGGAGCATCGTACTGTGTGCCCCTGACCAAACAATCTTCACGTAAGACCCCTGGCACCTCCCGCCCTGGGCTAAGTTGCACCAATCAAAGCCGGGTTGTGGCCCAAAACTGCTTCAGCCCCCGACCAGTCCTCGAACGACGCTTGTTCCATCTCCAGTCGATCCGACAATGCCATGGGCTGGGTGCTGGTGCGAGGTAGGGATATGCTCAGCAGATTCAGGCACGAGTGGCACATCTGAGCTTCCCCTTCGAGGGGATGGTCAAACCTTGCAGACAAAAAGTTGGAAGAATAAGACGGTCTGGGATATGTTTTCGTGTTATCCGTAGTGTACGGAGTACGGAGCACCGTTTTAGCGACGGCGTTTGCGGTTTGAGCCAGGGCCACACACTCCGTCAGTGTGACAACTGGCTGGTCCACAGCTGATCTTGCCGAGTCCCGTATTTCTCGGGCTGAGCGAAGTGCAGACCGGGTGACTGGCAAGGGGTAGAAGAAGAAGAAGAAGAAAAAAAAAGCCGAGGCGGTAAAGCGAAAGAAATGTGTAGTGGAAATGGTGTAGGTATGTACTCCGTAAGTTCGTCAGGCTGGCGGGGAGTGGCGAAAAGGGAGAGAAACGGCGGCTGCCAATGGAATGCGACCGAGGGATACGTATCTAAATGGATACTCCTTAGGCTCTCAGGTACGTATCCTCAGAGGGCCCCATCACGTGCATCACGTGCACCAATCTTGCTTAATCTTTCCCTACAAACCGGTACGCTACGCCCAAAGAGGACTAAAGGAAGGTCCCCCGGCTAACCTTACCTCAACTTACCTCGCAGCCGCCTCCAGTCTTCCCGTCCCTCCACCACCCCAGCAGCCAATCACAGGCCCCAAATCCAAAATTGGCACCATCGCGCTACAGCCTCGGACCCTCTCAGCCTCTGCAGTGCTGCACAGTTCGCCCACATTCCCATCCTCTCTGCATCTTCTCTCTACATCCCTCCATTCCCCCCCAGCCCGCCTCCGTTATTCACTTCAACCTCCCCTTTCCACTCCTCTCTTTGAGTGTGTCCCGTTTCCACGTTTCCAGGCCTGTTACCATACAACAACCCAGGTCCCTGCGCGCCTCTCGTTGCATTTATCGTCTCGCAAAGTCACAGACCACACATAGTCTTATCCATCGTCCACATTCGCAACCACAACTCGCCCTTTCCAGTCCATACCTGCGCAGTATACAGAGTGCTTGTCGACTCTACAATCTAGTTGTACCAACGTATTCTTCGGCTGAAGCACGCCTCTGGCCTCAGATCCTCCTAGGTCTATCATCATCCCTGTCTGGCCACCACCCCTCCCGATACTCGTCTCCGTCTCTTCCTCGATACGCCAGAGCATACCTTGACACTCACACCCGACAACCACATTCACATTGTGTGGCTCCTTACTGCTTCCCATCAGCACCATCAAACTTGCCGTTTCCACACCCCAGAATCACTGAGCCAACCCTCGTCTTCGCGCCCGCCAGACCATCAATCCCATCTCCATCCTACCTTACCATACACCACTCCGTACGGACCGCACCCAAGAACGGCTCAAACCACCCCTCAGCCCTGCTGTGGATCGCAACGTGTCAGGCCATTGCTCGTCTTGCCAGGCACCACGATGGTCGCTGCATGACACAATTCCTCCCACCCGTCTCCTGTTGTCAAAGGCCTAGCCCTGCTGTGCCCTGCCCGTTTGTCGACGTTTAATCTCCGTCCTTATTGATTCCTCGCCACCCCATCCAACTCTCGCACTCTTCCTTCCTGGCCTTCTCTCGTTCGTTCTGCGCCATTCCGAGTCGAGTCGACAAGACATCTCGCGACCAACTCGACCCGAGTACAGTCAAGCCAGCACTAACCAATATCCTTCCCTCTGACGGGCAGGTCCCTTTTTTTTACCTCATCCTTTCTCTCCTAACATCGACGCTACTCTCTTTCTCCGCCTCTGAATAGCGGCTCGAATCGATTTTTCTCTCTTCGATCCCGTCGTTAACGAATCTTGGACGACACGTCAAGCAATCACCAAGCCATCCCGGGCACTCGACGAGGTGGACACGACTAAGGCTCTTTCTTTGGCTTCGTCTTATTTCAATTCGCTTCGCTTCGCCGCCGGCCGGGACCCGACTTTTGTAATTAGACCTTGGCGACGCCAAACCATCATCAGCAATTCGCTCCACCTTTTCTCTCGGCCCCGAGCCCATTAATACGATAGCCGCCCGATCTTCCCGGCTACAACGCTACTCTCCGCTTTCTCTCAACTTTATCGACGACAATGTATTGGAAGGTGGTTGTCACCACGGCGGCGCTGGCCTCGCGCGCTTGCGCCGAGATTCGCCCGCTATCGATGGATACCGCAATCGAGGTTCGCGCGGTCGACGTGTTGGAACGAAGCTACGAGGATGTCGCAAACCGATACATCGAGAAGCGACAAAGCTCCATGGTGGACGCAGAGTGGGTTTCGAGGGCGACTGAAGTTACGCTGAACAATGACGGCACCATCAACATGACAGCTTGGGAGCAAGAGACGTCGGCAAAGTGCACCGACGCCCTTTCACACCTCGACCAGGCCTCGAACCCGTCCGGAACCTGCATCTGCTACAACTTGCCGAGTCTGAACGCCCAAACCGGTGTCTTTGAAGCCGACCTGCGGTTGTTCAAGGTCTCTGAGCCAAACAATGCCTTTGCTGGTATCCCGCCACAGAACATCCAGGTCGGGCTTTCATTCAACGGAGCTTCCGTCTCGCCAGTCAGCGCCAGCAAAATCGGCAGCTCCACTACTAAACGGGATCTCAGCTTTGAGGTTCCGTGGACCGGCCTGCAAAAACGAGTCGTCACGCCACAGGCCCTGCAAACATACCTGTTCGTCGGACAGATTGACCAGAGCAGAATGGTGGCACCAATGTCCATGTACGAACCCCATTTTTACTTGCGTAATTGGAGTATAGAAGCTAATGTTTTCCAAGGTCACAATTTGAAGCACTCGTCATGCCGACCCTCACGCTTACCGGCGTCAACGCCGCCGGCCAGACCGTCAGCACGAACGTCTCCTCGAACGAGGCTGCTTTCCTCACTGGTGTCTTCTCCAAAGAAATCATCAAATCCGACCTCGCCGTTGCCCAAGCTGCCGTCGACGAAGTAGTGGCTCAACTGAAGAACGGCACTGTCGCTTTCGTTCTCCCCGGTGTTCAGCTGATGATCTTCCCCGTCGGTCTGGTTGTCACCAGCACTTGGCTCCTCATCGGACTGGCTTTCTACGGATTCGGCACCTATGAGCGCATCGGCTACGCGGAGAGCTACAGGAGAAGACGGGCTATCGCTGGCGACACAGCCAAGCGTATATAAATCAATGACATCACGCGACCGGATACGAGACAATTTGTTCGGGGGCAATCTTTTTTTTTTTTTGAAGAATGAGGGGCTCCCTCACGAGCCGAGAAGGTTCTAGGAGTGGACTACTTATTCTGCCCGTGGTGGCGGAATCATCAGCATCAAGCAGCAGCGTGACATCTACATCTTTTTTTTTATTTTGGCCCACTTCTCTTCATCCTCCACGCCTCTGAGGAGTCCCCTATCTGTCGTAAATAGTTGGATGTCAGTTTTGCTCTCTCTTCCATAGAAAAGAATATCCACAACACAATAGTGAAGGCTGATTTCGCCTGTTCCCAGCCCAGTCCTTTCTCCGGCCTTCAATTTCGCGATAACTCGGTATTGGACCGCTGTTAGTTCGAGAAAGGAACACTGATACTTTTTGCTGGAGGGGTGTTGTTCGAACCTGCGGCTGTTGTGCGACATGTCACAGTTTGGGGTCCGTTTCAGCTTGGATGTGTCGAGGGAATGCGACGTCACGGCGATCCGACGGTGTGGGTGGATGCGAGGGGGTTTCTTGGGATGATTTCAGCCACACGTGGCTGATAAGGGGCACTTAGTGATCTGCCTGTTATGCTTGGTATGATGATGCTGCAACCTGCATGCCGTCAAAGACAGTAGATCGGAGATCAAAAATGGTGAAATGCCATTAGGAGCCGTCGGGTTAGTTTTCATTCACTCCTCGAGTCGCCTGCGATAAGGTACCTGACGGCGCAGATGAGAAAAGTAGACGGCAGTAAGCTCGATGCAGCGGTGCGCCAAGGCTGGCGGGAGACATGGGAGATTCGGAGACGGAGAAAGTCCATTTTGAGGTCGAGGCGGTTGAAGTATTCGGCTTCGACGGAGGAACTAGGTTGGCTGCACGTTGCAAAGTCCTAGTACAAGCGTTGTATCTGGTGCCATTTGGGATACTCGGCCTTTGAATTTGCGCTAGGTACAGGGTACACATCAGGTACGAAGTCTGGTTGCATCTCCATGCTGACTCCTCTCTTCGTCCAACGTGTGGAATAGACTTGATCGATTAGTTTATCGAAAAGCTCATGACTGTGGCGAAACAATCATCAGCAAGCGGGCGTGCTGCTAGAGCTACCTGAACTACTGCTT